ATGTATATATGAATATGTGCATTTTGTAAAAGAGATGCATTTCATGTAATACAAATAAACTTAGACTCCAGATACATGTACAGTGATTATATATATATACACATGCATGGATGTGTGTCATGTACATACACAATCCACAGAATTAGGTACTGTAGATCATAGCCCACATATATATATATATATGTATGTGTATATATATATATATGTATCCATAGAATTAGGTATATCATACACACATTTGTATAATTATGTATACACATCCATAAATGTATGATAATTATACATACTGCATATCAAACAGCCTTCAGGTCATGGCCTTCTTCCAAGCAGTGAAGCCAACCTGCGCGAAGCCGCCAAGAAGGCCTGGCTCACTGCGATTCAGGTTAGTGAAATATACTACTATATACTATTATATCCTATTATATACTATTATATCCTATTATATACTATTATATCCTATTATATCCTATTATATACTATTATATACTATTGTTTTATACATAATGACACAATCTTCTATGTTTCTATGTACATGATATACTTACACATACACAGTAATGTCTGATTTTATCGTTGTATACATATTGTGCAGGCTTCACACAAGATGATTGCTTTGTAAAGGGGGAACAGATCACACGACTTGAAATTTTGGCTGCAGGGAATTTTCAAATAAGAAATCACCAATAGAACATGACCCAGAGAAGAACAGATTCCGGATTTGTTTTAGGTTTTGGTTTCACAGGGACATTTTTGTAGGACTGCTCCATGTTTTTAGATAGTGATAGCTACCATGGTTTCCTGCCACATGCTGCTAGCGTAAAAAGGAAATGTCACTTGACAAAACAAGAGATGAGGAGACAACACAGTAGAGGTGGTAAGAGAACCAAACAAGCATTAAGATACCACCAAAAGCATGGGAATCCATACCCTTACCAAAAAACGGAAAACTTAACAGATGTTAACAGATGGGGGTATTCAAGAATTGTGCACTGCAACGATGGTTAGGATTCAGGGAAACAGCCCATTCAATCACCCCTTTTTTGTGCCCCAGATTCGTGAAGTATTCGAAAAATCAGCAAGATTCATGGAGATACCCTCATCATCATGAAAACAATATTCATCATCATGATGATCATCATCTGGTAATTTAACGTAGCTATTGAAAATGGCCATAGAAATAGTGGATTTACCTATTGAAAATGGTGATTTTCCATAGTTATGTTAGTTTACCAGAGGGCATCATCTAATTCATGATACTTCAGTAAACACAAGATCCGAAAACTGCAGCGTTTCACGAATCGGATTTTGTGGATAATCCCGACAATTATTATCTCAAATCCCTTGGATCCAGACGTACTGGAGATACCCGCAGCGGTTATGACATTCACAGTTTGCCATGGTATAGATGGCCTATAAAAATAGATGGTTTACCGTTCTTAAAAATGGTGGATCTTTCCATGGCAAACTGTGAATGTCATAAGCAGATGGTAATTCTAAAATAGTGGATGAAATCTGACGAAGATTCGTGAACATTGTAGGAAATCAGCGCAGCGGCGAAGCCCCGCAGCGAAGCCTAGGGCGAGTTCTACTATCCGGCCACTCCTTCGAGGGTCGGGCAGCGAGCTGTACCAAGAGGGTGCTGGTTGATGGTTGGTGGATGATTTTAAAGGTTGAAAAGGGTTTTTATATGGGTGTTATTGATGTTTTATGATGTCTTATGATTTTTTTAATGATGTCTTATGATTTTTTTTGAGTTTTTATGATGTTTTATGATGTTTTATGGGGGTTCACCATGACTACTTGATGAATGTTGATTGGTGATTCGTTCGGGGATTATACTCACCAATATTTCATGGGGAATATCAGAATCCGTGAACGTGGAATCCCGTTCTACAAGCAATCAGTTTTTCAAGGGACACGATTTTGGGGTTTTGAACACTTCTCACTTGAAAAGCTTTGACGTAGGGTAGTTTGTACTTCAATTTTTTGCCATCAATGGCGATAGAAACTCACCAGCATTTTAAAAATGCAGGTTACCTAAGATAAGCTCTGATTTGGTTGACAATGATTAAAGCATATTGAACGCATAAACGAGAAACATATACCCCAAGAATCGCAAGAATTCTGTTTTGCATATTCCCTGGAATTGGATGAAGGAAACACAAATTAAAAAGAAGGAAAACCCACTGAATCTACTAGAATAAAATCCAAATCGAAAAATTGGATGAATATAAAATCTGCAGTTTGAAAACCCCTTAAACATGTTCCGTTCAACCCGGACGTTGTTCCACACTTACAATCATCATTGTCACCGTCATCATCATCATCATCATCATGATCATCATCATCATGATCACGATCATGGTCTCACTTACAATCATCTTTATCATCATCATCATCATCATCATCATGATCTCATCATCATGATCATAATGATCACCAGTGTCAACTCATGTGGAATGGGGTAACACCATCAACTTATATGTCTTATATGCATAAGGGAGCATAAATCCGCCACCCCCTATGACAAATATGTTGAATGGGTTAATCACATCCACTCATCTTCATAAGGGATCAGCAATCCACCACACCCTATAACAAATATGTTAAATGGAATAATCACACCCACTTGCCTTCATAAGATATCAACATCCGCCACCCCCTTCTGACAACTATGTTGGATAAGGAATAACAACAACTTATCTTCATAAAGGGGCCAAAAATCCACCACCACCTCCGACGAATATGTTAAATGAGGTAATCACATCAACTTATCTTCATAAGGGATCAACAGATCCACCACTCCCTCTGACAAATATGTTGAATAAGGAACAACATCAACTTATCTTCATAAGTGATCAACAAATCCTCCACCACCCCCTTTGACAAATATGCTGAATCTGATGATAGCATCAACATATCTTCATAAGGGATCAACAACACTTCCATCACCTGTGGCAAATATGCTGAATCTGATAGTAGCATCAACTTTTTTCATCAGGGATGACGATGATGATGGTGATGATGATGATGATGATGATGATGATATGATGATGATGATGATGATGATGATGATGATGGTGACTATGATGATGATGGTGATGACGATGATGATGGTGATGATGATGGTGATGATGATGATGATCATGGATCACATATACATCTACATATTGAAAGTCCACCCACATGGCATGTCAAAAATACGCAACCTTTCCGCAATTCCGGCGCGGAGCCACGTCAGGGTTGCACGGAACCTTTATCCAACAAAAACATGGCAAACCCCATGGATTTCCCCTTAACAGGCTGAGAGGCCACGAGCGAGCCGGGAAGCTGAGATCTGGGGTTGATAACGGTTGTTTAATGGGTAAAGTAAATAACCTTAAGCTATACGAATACTGGTTGACTTAATGGGTTAATGATTGTTAATGATGGTTAATCATGGTTGATAATGGTGGATTGGATAAGGGAAAACCATGCAGCATTGCCAGTAAATTGGATGTTGCGTCCCCCATCTCAAGAAACGGTCACATGTTCTTTTGTTTGTTCGGATTAAGCCAGTCAGACATGGATACAGATGAGATCATATGAGGGTGTCTTTCAACTCGCAAGCAATTAAATCCACACTCCATGGGGAGTTTGACAGAAAATGATGAAGGTTTAACATGATTTGTATGATCGTGATTCTAGCAGCATGAGATTTGACCGATATTCAAGGATCGCCGAACTCACAATGTGTTTGCTCTGAATTACAACTGAAAATCACTTGGCAACTACCTATTTTTAGTGATTCAAACCATTCACTGTAATCCATGGTGTTGGTGCCCCAAGTCTATTCCTACCCACTAGCCCATCGTGGAGATAGTTCACCAGGAGCCACTGCCGGAACTGCCGGAGATGTTGATCTGAACAAATATTCGCTAGCCCAGAAGATGTTGAATCAGTTGAATCAATTTTTTCCCGACATTTTCGGGCCATAACTGGGCTGGTGAAACGGTGAAACCACCATTTTCGGACACGGCCATTGGGCCACAACTGATCCTTGAGGTAGTGCCAGCTTGAGCAGGACTCGATCACACGCTGCAGACTCAGAGGGAGACTGCCCTGCAAGTTGGAATACTTAAACTTGCAGTTCTTTGGGTATGTTTGGGTATGCTTGGTTTTTGACCAATTTTACGAATAAAATAACATACATATTAAATATGAAAATTACATACGCATATGATTTTGAAATATTTTGAATATGATTACGAGTCTGAAGAAGAATATGAACATGATCATGATCATGATCATCATGATGATGATGATGATGATGATGACGATGATGATGATGATGATGATGATGACGATGATGACGATGATGAACCATCACCAGGTAGGATCCCTTCAGTTTTCTGAGTTCAACAGTTCTCTTTTTGTTGATGGTTCAAATCTTCACCCAGCGTTTGTGACGTTGGTTACATTCCCATAGCTGCAACTCGGAGATTGCAAAATGTCATCCAAGAGTTAGACTAGATTGTTTTCCCATCAAGATTGAAGTGCCACATATGGCCCAAAAGGATCCCCTGATGGCTGTCTAGAGTCTAATGGTGACGGTTTCTGAACTTTGGAAGGTCTTGGAGCGCCCAAAGTCCACAAAGACGGCCTGGAGGTAGCTGGAGGTAGGGCGGGCATCTGAAAATCGCCCAGAAGATCCTCTCCAAACGGAGAGAGTTTGCTCGCAGGGTCAACCATGCCCAGCGACGAAAAAGTGCGGCGCTGGATCTTTCGATTTTTGTCAGAGATCAGACGTGTTCCGAACGCGGACTCAGATACTCCTTAGACCGTATTAACCGTATGATGATATTTTTTTGTGCAGCTAAAAACAGGTTTTTGGGTTTTTTTTGGGATTTTTTGGGCTTTTTTGCCTCAGCCCCATTCAGAATTTCGACCAAACATTGGGTCCCGTGAGTCCCGTGCGTCTGGAAACACTTCGATGCACCTGTTGCTTCCGGCGAGTTGCAAAACGCCCCGCCCGGGAATAGCCCGGTCCCATCGCAGATTGCCCCATGGTCCACCTAGGCGGGACTGCCATGTTGAGGAAGCCAGCTGGGCCCAAAAAACCTGGTGTTTGATGATTAAACTTGAATATGTTTGAATATATTTGAAAGATGGGCAAACATTGGGATGTATAGTTGAATATGATTGATAATGACGGTTGATATGATTAAATGATACTAAATTAGTGGGGTTATGGATGGTTATCGTTATTGGTTCACTGGGAATTCCCATACGATCATCCACTTTGTTCATGGCTATCAATGCTATCAATGCTATCAACCAACCAAAAAGCATTGCTGCCCCTTAACCTGTGCTCGACTCACAGGTTATGGTGCCTTTGCACCGCATGCGATACTGGCAGACTTGCTGAAGCAAGAACGCAATGGTCAGGCGCCGTTGTCAATTGCTTCAGCAGTGCCACTAGGCAAAGAGTTCTGGGTCAATACTCAACAAGCTAAATCACCATCCCATAATAGTCTAGTCTCAGGGTCTGGAATATTCTGGAAACATGTTTTGTGGATGCGATTTGTTTATATGTGTTTTGTTGTTGCCGCTACTGCTAGTGTTGTTTTGCGGTAAATGTTGTGACGTGACCCCCCGAAATGCGGGTCAAGATTGACTTTGCAGCCCCCTTTTTCCTTTCCTCATCGGTTGTCTCGCACCTTTACGAGTCTGCCTAAAGATGAACAAGTTCTATCATCAATTCAATATACCCTCTGGTTATTTAACATAGCCATGGAAAATGGCCCCTTTATAGATGGTTTACCTATTAAAAACGGTGATTTTCAATGGCAAACTGTTAGTCATAACCAGAGGGTAATTTACAAAGTAACCCTATCACGCCATTTTTTTCTATCCAATACATTTCACTGGGTGGCGATAGGCGGAAGGGATCAATCACCAAATCGTAGGCAACGGCGATTGAAACGAATCTGGCATTGGCGGTCTCTCGCCGAAAACTGGAAGGGGACTTGGGACGGCCATTGGGACGCGGACCTAGGACCTAGGACTTGACAGTTTTCAGAATTCAAGGATTGAACATGATTGAAGCCACAGCGATCATGATTTGTGTTGCCGAAAATTTGGCAAACTTATTTCGTATTAATCCAAACAAAAGTCGCCCCCAAGATGTGGTGTCAGTGACAGGCTATTTGGGAAAATCAACGTCTGTTGGTCAGCCTCTTTGAATTACATGCCAAGGTGAAGTGACCCTCAGCACTAGGATTGGCTCGGAAATAGAGGATATAACTGATATAACCTTCACAAAAAGCAGAGATGTTCAGTGTGTGTGGTTGATTGTGGTGACCCAACTCGAAGTTTGAAAGCCAAAGAATGGTCCCCAATAATATAAGACGGCCATCTTGCAATTCGAAATCATGCGAAAATCGATGGTAAATGCAGGCTAGGAACCTTCACTCTCCTAGCACTCACGAGATCGCAACCGCAAAAAAAATCGGCAGAGGTTTGCTCCCTAGCGGACGCGCCAATGACAGCGGGACGGCTGTCCACTTGCTCCAAGGTGCATAAAATCAACAGGACTCCCTGGAAAATTTGAGGGTCAAAACCATGGGTCTCCTGTCAATTGTCCCATCCATTTGTTGAGATTAGATGATCTTCATTGGTAATTGGGAAGTCCTAAATGTCAAGAAAATCCAACATTGGTTAATTCTTAGATCCAATTGTGGACGGTGAATGGAGTTGACATCCACCCACATGGAAAAACATGTCAACAAAACCATCAGCGCGTTTGATTCAGAGGAGACATCAATTAATTCTAAAAAAAAGTCTGGATCATACCACTCAGTCATAACTCATAACTAAGTTATCACCTATGGCTTGTGGTCCTGTGGTGTATGTTCAAAACTAGTAAGCCCAACAGTATCCCAGGAAAGTGTTCGTTTCAGCGATCACACTGATTGATTGGTCCATTGGACCCCCCAATGATCCCGAATGATCAGATCCAGCATCAAAAAAAAGGCTTTCGGAGGGGTCTTCATGATTAGGGTGTCAGGGTGTTGAAAACAGGGAGAGTTAATTAAATATGACAGTTGTTAGGCAGGGATTTAACAAATCGTAGATTACCTGCATTTTGGAGTGAACTACCATGCGCCAGCCAAAAACAGGAGGGTGACTGAGCAATGTACCATGAATGCAAACAGAGTATAACTACCCTGGTCCATGCATAGAAAAACTAATTCCCAGCATTGAACCAGATTTGTTTGGCCTTCATATAGCTGGATAAGTTGCAATGGTAATCTTATAATTCTCCAGTGACAAACTGGGGCTCCGCTGCAAACTGCTACGAGGCTTTGAGGGGTGCCATTGGAAAATTGATCCACGAATTGCAACGTGAGCGTCTCTATGTGGTTGGAGGCCCTATGAAATCACTGGGAGCAGGGCCCAGTGGAAGTTGAGACCATGACCTGTTGAGGGCCAAGGGCCAAAGACTCTATGAACTGATGTGACCCAGCTGTAGTGTGGGTGTCGTAGGATTTGGAAAAGGAGAAACCAACCAGTGCAGACTTGATGTTTGGAGGTGGCTTGAGGTTGGTGTCTTCGTGTCTTTTGTGGGTGAATTAGCCATGAGACAGTTTATTTGTAAGATTTTGTAAGCGTTCAAAAGAGGCCAAATTCCAAGAAGACTGACCTTCAATCTATGGCTATGAGTCAAAATCTCAGACTGCAGATGTTGATCCATTAGTTTTAACGTGTTTTAACCCATTCCATTCTTGGGATTTCTTGGGTTCCCCTCAGCATGACCCATCCCATCCAAATATTTTTTTGGGGGGAGGTTCCATAAATGGGGTATACCCCAGCAGGCCGGCCGGTTTATTTCACGGAAAATCCGAAAAAAAACCATGGACAATCCGCTAAATCATCCATTTTAATAGCATTTTAATAGCATTTTCCCTTCAAAACCATCCAGCGAGCTTGGGGTACCCCCATGACAAAACGGAAACCTCCAGACTCCAGACCCCAGCCACGGATCCACGGCGCCAGGTTTGGATGATACTTTTGCACCGCTGTCTGCGGTGGAGCGCTTTGATCCTCTTGATGGTTCCTGGGAGAAGCTGCCAGCGCCTCAGCTGGGGAGAATTGATGATAATTGGACCCCCTGAAAACTGGGCCAAAAAAAATGTGCGCTCTTATGGCTGAACTTATCCAGTCAGTGAATCATTAAAGTTTAACTTATGCAGATAAGTTTGATTTGGCAGAGTGATTCAATTTTGGATGCTTCAAGAGGAGTGGTTCGCATGGACGCTGCGACGCACCGCAACATGCCAATCTGATCTAGCCCTGAAATTCAGGCCTCCCATCAATACAGCAAGACACGGCGCTTGCGCGGCAGCATTTGCCGGATATCTTTACGTGCCGGGTTCTTAGTTCGCCCGGATGTGGGGGGTTCCATAAATGGGGTACCCAAGACCCAATAATAGCTGCATAGATTGGATAGTTTATTTTATGGAAAATAACCTAAATGGATGATAACTGGGGGTATCCCCATTTCAGGAAACCTCCATATGTATCCATATGTTATCATATATGTTTTATTTTAGCAGTTTACAGACCCTTGAGAACCACCCCATCATCCACCTCGATATGTGTATGACGACGATCTCGCTGTACTGTACCTCACAACTGCTGAATAACCATTGGCTCGAAACAGCAATTATCTATATAGATCCGTGATATTACATGATGACTTGTGTAGATTTCATCCATTTAAAACATTGTATATATAAACATATAATTATAAATATAGTAAACCATCGAGATATTCCCACTAGAAAGCCAAAAACATCTCCCAACTGGGGCGTCTCAGGATTGGAGGTGAAGTTTCAGGAGTTGCATTGCGAGACGTTCAGCGTTTTTGCCCTCGTGGTTCTCAGACATGGGACAGGGCCCCGGGGCACGCGTGATGGTTGGGCGGCGCGGTTCGCTTGGGGTGGCAAACAGTTGGTGGAACAGTTCTGAATTGTCATCCTGGAACAGTTCGGATGCATTTGTTTGTTCTTTTCGAGATGTGTCAAAATTTGGGTATGGCTCAGTATGGCTCTCAAGAATGGATGGTCAGTCCCCCAAAAATATCGTTTTTGGTGTTGACGTCAACACCTCATCCCCGGCCCAACAGTTTTTCCCTCAGGGTGAACCTTTTCCGATGGGGAAGCCATGGGTCTTCTGTTTTTTTGACCCGTCACACCAACCTCTACATGCCCACAGACACTTACTGGTTGGTGGTTGGAACATTTGGATTATGTTTCCATAATATTGGGAATTTCATCATCCCAACTGACGAACCCCATCATTTTTCAGAGGGGTTGAATGAAGCACCAAGTAGCTTATCATGGCAGCCTGAGGAGACAATGCCACCGACTTCCATTGGTAGAATCAGGGCTGCGGCAACGGCATGTCAGGCCAACTCAAAAAAGATATCCGGGATGGCTGGGATCAAATTTTGAGTATCACCCAGAGATTTGATACTCAAAATGCGACTGGCACAAGTTGAAGGCAAACTATATATATGATCTACTCTTTACTGGTCAAGTTGTTTGTATTCAATCATGCAAGTTTGTGTGTGTGTGTGTTCAGTTGCGACTCACTTCCACATTACTCCCTATAAACAAGTAAGGGTTAAGTGATGGGTGATGGCAATTGAAGTAGGAATTGAGTTTCAACAACAGCCCTTTTAGATGCGCTCCGCTCCTGATTGCACTGAGAATGCTGCACCCGGACCCGCACTATTATGGTAAACCAGTGTTTTTTTTTAGGGCACCTAAAAAATGGACCAACAAAGCCACATGGTAATTTTGGAGACTCCAGTAATTTTGGATATGGAAGATCCATCATTTGTAGATCCTTTTTTTGCGGCAAAATTGATGGATTTCCAGTGTTGAAGGAACTTGTTTTCTGGAATCAGCAGCATTTTTTCGTTGCACCCCAGGCACAAAGGCACAAAAAATCTGTCCGTTCCAGGAACAGCTCTACGTCTTGGGCGGGAATGACGGCTTCAGTTCGTTAAGCTCTGCCCTTAGCCTGGTCACGACGTATCCCGATGTTTACATATTGTTTACCATGACCATATCATCCTTTTTACTGGTCCTGCCTCAAACTCGGGAAGTTGTTTTTCTTTTTTCAATGTCATCAAGATATAGTGGTAAAATGTGGTCAACAAAAACAATGTATAGCTCATATAAACTAATTTGAACTCATGTGATTCCCTTAGGAAAACAATGGAAAACATATTGGATTTGTATGGAGGGGATTCCCTTGACCTATTCACATCCACGGGATCAACTTGGCCGATTTGGATCAGGATCTGTGGAGCGGTTTGATCCCAGCACGGGCCGATGGCAGGCGCGGCCCGCGCGGCAAGCTGAAAGTCTCAGGGTATCTGCAGGATGAAGTGGATGATTGATCATATTCCCCAGTAAAAATGGCTATTTCAATGGTAAATCTCTGGTAAAGATACAACAACTGCTTGGTGGTTTGGAACATTTTTCCATAATATATATTGGGAATAATCCTTCCCATTGACGAACTCAGATTTTTCGGAGGGGTTGAAACCACCAACCAGTCATAGTCGTTCCGAACGTTCCCATGTTTTTTGAAGATGTAGCCTCCAGTGACATAGACCCTGACAGATAGGGGTTGGAAGACCAGTTTCCCCTAACGAATGGTCATTTTCAGGGTCTATGTTAATTTACCAGAGGGTCAACATCATGAAAAGTACTGTGTGAATGTTCTTTGGTCTCCTTTTTGCAGACACTGCCGCCAGTTGTGTCGATGCCCCGAGAATAGATTGGACAAGAGAAGGCCACACAGAATCATACAGATGTAATGTACGTACGTACATACCTACATACATACATACATACATACATAAATACATACATATATATATATACATATAGACAGATAGATTGATAGATTCTGCAGACTATCCTCCAAATTCCTCGAAATGTGTGGCGAGTTGCAACATGCGCAGGCAGTGGCTGCAATGCAGAAGCCCAGATATGTGATTTTCCCAGCAACTGCAAAATTTTGATAGCTGCGGTTGGGTGCTTGCAAGAGGAGTCTGCGACTTTGGTGTGGGTCAAAGTATCAACACCCCAAGCCACACCTACATTGTTTTTCAAAAGTATGTTTGGGTAAATTATGCACAATGATAAAATGATCTCACACTCTCTGGACAAGCTCACTCGCAATGACTATATATACGGGCAATCATTGATCCCAAATAGGCTGATTTAAGATTTTGCAGAACTTATGTCAGTGGTCAACCCTTTTGCCTAGATTGTTTAATGGCCACAGATTGGGGATAAAGCATGAAAAAAAAACAGTTCCATAAATGAAGAATTACATGTTCATTATATGGGGAAATCATGATAAATCATCATGAATTCATTCAAAAATCCATTAAAGTCAAGTAAACAAACGTACCCTCTGGTTATTTAACATAGCCATGGAAAATGGCCCATTTATAGATGGTTTACCTTTTAAAAATGGTGATTTTCCATGGCGAACTGTTAAATAACCAGATGGTATACTTATAATCCATATCAAAATCCACCGAATTCCTGGATTTCCAAAGATTTTCTAAGGCCTGTTCAGCAGCAGCGCGGGACGATATGATCATTGTCTTTAGTGGCGAGTTGACGGAGGTCCACGATGAAAACCAACACCATTGGATCATTGGGATATTTTTAATTTATCAAAATTCCCAATGGTTCAATGGTTCACTATCCAAATGATATCCCCATTAAAAAAAAGTGGTAAGAATGATTGTTCACTATCATAGATGTACCTGATTGGTGCTTTGGAACAAAATTTGATTTTCCATAGTATATAGGAGAATCCTTCCCATCGACTAATATTTTTCAGAGGGGTTGAAACCACCAACCAGATATGGTTGTGCCCAAAAAGACAACAAATACATCCCTAATATCCTAAGTATAGGTGGTATAAACCATTCCCAAATGGGTGTTGTTTTTATTTGTTCCCCACATTACTGAAATCGTGATCATTCACTTTTCTGTATTTTTGTGGATACTAAGAAGCATGCATGACTTGTAAATGATAATCGTTATGTACTGGTTATAAATGGGTTACATACTGACTGAAAATTGGATGAATCAAGTGGGGATTGCAACTTAAAAATTGGGCATAACATGGTGTAACGGTATAATCCACACCAATTTGATGTGGATATGATATGATGGGATATTAATTACCAACCATATACAGTACTGATATGATATGAGATGGCTTTGTTTCCGAAAATGGCCACTAATGGTAAATGAGTGGCCAAAGATGGCCAAAGCATCGAAGTCGGGGGTCCCCTTTTTGTAAGGAGACAGACTTAAATGAATGGTGGCACGGCATGGGCTCCAAAGAAACTTCAACGGCCTGTTGAACATATATCTGGGTAAATTATAACGACCTCACTGCGACCTTAGTGGAACCATGGTCAATAAGGTAAATCATCCCCATATGGCCTTAATTCAGGTTAGTGGAATATTATAATTTACCCATATATATATAATTATATATATATAATTATATATATATATTGCAAATTATAGTACCCTGAGAAGAATCAAAAAAATATGGAAAAAACAATTGATATGTCATTACTTTGGTTGAATTTTACTTTTCTATCTTTTTACTTGTCGGGCTGGGAATGCCATGCAGAGATCTTTACATTGTCTCTGCATCCCCTGGCTGCGCATCTGGACAGACGGGAGCTGCAGCCTCGATGGAGATCTACAATGTGCAGGTGGGATGTGGAACTGGAACGGTCTGAACATGGCAGGATGCATTTGATGGAACACAAAGGACATACAGTATATCGATCTGTATAAATTACAGATACGGTATGTATATATATATATATATTAATACCTATCATAGCCAAGGGAATATTGATCTATCTATCTATCTATCTATCTACCTATCTAATCTAATCTTATTTTATCTTATCTTAGTTTACCTTCTCTCTTATCTATCTATCTATCTATCTATCTATCTGATCTTATCTGATCTGATCTGATCTGGCCTGATCTGATCTGATCTGATCTATCTATCTAATCTAATCTGATCTGATCTAATCTAATCTAATAAAAACCTAATCATCTCATCTATCTATCTATCTATCTATCTATCTATGTATATATATATATATTGTATAACCATTTTGATTGTTGGTGATCTATCTCTTGATATTGGCAAGATCCCCAAGTTCGATCAAATATTCCTCACAGAGGGACATTTAGTGACCCACAAATGGCTGGTCACTTTGAGTGAAAGCAACCGCTTTTTGCAGGAAATACTCTCGACATGTGCTGAATTAAAAAGCACTTGATATGAACATTACCTTCACCTGAGATGCTTAAAGTGAGCCTTCAAAATTCAGGCTGTGGATTCAACACCCAAATCACCATCTGAAGGACGGTGAAAATCCAGTGCCGCATGAGGCTGTGGTTTCCCATTCTGTGCAAGGTTTTTTTTTTTCTTCAAGGTTTTTCCCTGCGTGTCGACAGTCCATGTACCCATAAATCTCAGCTACTTTGATGTCATCACTACAGGGGGGGCCCAGGCGGATACGTGGCATTTGTTGCCCGCCTTACGCTCGCCGCTCTGCGGTTCAGTGCCGGTGTTGAAGGCCCTGGGGGGGATTGGGATGTGGTGCCCCCTGTAGTTATGTTTGTTGGTTGATATGTATATATATATATATGATATATATATTTCTAGATATATCTAATTATATCTAGGATACATCCAACTTGTAACTTATAAACTATTATAAACCTAGTTACTCCTACAGCTATCTATGGGACACCACCTTTTTGACAACCAAGAAATGGTCCGGTGTGTAACAAATAAAATTGCAGCGAGTGAGGTAAAGCAACCAAAATGATTCCAACATAGAGACATTTTGAGCCTTAATTAGGGATTAGTAGAATTGGTAAGTAACTGGGGCTATAGGCAAGCTATAGAGGGAGAAACCCGGACAACTACGAAGCTGTGGTTGCTCTCCACTCGATATTGGGAACAACCCACAAGTGGCTAAAAAATATCTTTTGTTCCTCTTTCCAGGGGCCGTCCCTGGTTTAAAAAAAAGTTATTGAGATGGCTGTTGAACATGTGGAAACACCACCGGGTTTTTGGGATGTTGAACTCCCAACCTGAGGCCATCCACAACTGGGGAATGTTTGATGTGTGTGACTTTTTCCAACATTTACAGACAAGCTTGGAAGCTTGGAAGTTGTGTCAAGTTCCATCTCCCTTTTCTATTTCAATCTATTTGAATCTCAATCCACCGATTTTCGCTCCTTGTTCCATCCCCAACAGCCTTGGAGGCATCTGGAGACGAAGTCTTTAGTTTCGGAGGCAGGGTGATGACAGCCTTGAACATGGACTTTTTGGGGAGCAAGATGATCCTCGCAACGAACTCAGAATGATGGCCTGGGGCCTAGGGGAAATCAACGAAAGATCCCAGGGGTTGCTCAATGTCACATTTTGGTGACTGTAAACAACACCTTTTTCCAGCTGAACTGCGCTTGGAAGATGGCACAGGACTTGGGCTGAGCGGTCAAGCTCTAACCTTTGCGGAACGGGCCAATTTGAAACGTGAGGAGCCTACGGTGGGGCCTCCAGAGTGGCTTATCTAGTGGACGTTCCGAAGATAGTCATAGTCCCTGGGTAGAAAGAAGCCTCTCCAAATAGCTTGACATCGTTCGCTGTCACTTAGCAGTGATGTGAAAGTAAGAAGACCGCGGTTGGGGACTGGAACAGACTTCATGAGTATAGATAGATAGAAACTTGAAGCTGGTAGACTTACACGGAACATCTATACTTAGCTGTTTGCTCTAGCATGATCCTCTGTTGAGAAATTGTCACGGGATATGATATGGCTTCAATATAGCCCCTAAAGCGGCACCTGCCACACCACATGGACCAAAACACCTGACCTGCCACCACGAAAAGTGGATACTGCAACAACACCAAGTGGATACTGCCACAGCCAACCACAGAAAAAAGTGGATAGTGCCCAATAGTGCCACGGCCAAAGGTGTTTCCTTTGTAAGAAAATGAGAAAAAACCATCAGCATGGCATGCCGGGCATACCAATAGGACTTCCACGGACCCCCGAGTCGTTGGGAAAGAAACGCCGTCGGCGGTCCCAGGCGGCGATGATCCATGGTAACCAGCAGTCGACTGTCGACTGTCTGTATAGTTCAATGTATTTCATAGCTGAAATCATACTGAAACTACTGAGTGTTAGATATGTTAAGTTAAGATAGTTTAAGATATGTTAAGATATTTTCAGATATTGCTTAGATATTTTAAGATTAGACACCCGCCTGGGCTGCAGGAGTCACCCTATCCTGGATTGTGTGGAGCCCAGCTGAGGGGTCGTCCTGTGATGTCCAAGGCAAACCCAGAAAGACACTTTTGGATCCAAAGGAACGGCTCTAAAAGCAATTTTTAAAGATTTTCAAAGAAGAATTTTCTACATTTCCTGATGTTCAACCATGGAAATCTAAGAAATCCTAAGAAATCCTAAGAAATCCCCAACTTAGTCCCTGGGTATAAAAAACTGAGGTCCGGAGGGCCTTCCTGGAGTCCCTTACCTCCAATGTTGTCTGCGCGGCAGCAGATGTCAGCCTGCACCTTCCAGGCCCCTGGGAGGGCACCAGAGAGTTTTGATTCGTTTTTTGAAGGATGTGGCAGTGCGGGAATGGGTTTTGAATGGTTTTGAACCCTTGTTGACCACATCAATGGGTACTGCAGTAGTGTCCGGAAGCCTCACGATGATGTCATATGATGTCATGATCAACCCCAATTTTGCAATGGCATGATATGTTCTTGTTGGGAAACATCATTCCAATAGCCGATTTTTCTTTAGATTTGGGTCTTGATGGATCAAGATCGTCAATCCCCGAAAATGGATTGAAAAATTGATGGTTTCAGATACTGTACTTCATGCTGATTACGGATGATTGTCTTATATTTTCTGGATCCAAACATTAACTACCGAACATGGAAATTCACCACGGATGTTTAATAAATCTTAGACGCAACAGAGCCACGGAGCCTCAGGATGGTGCGGTGATTGTGGGTGGCAAAGGCATCACATCAGAGGCGCACACGGAAAAAAAATTAGGTGCTTGATTTGTTTGACCACCAGAAAAAGGGGATGAATTTCAGAAGCTAAATATCACCAAAATGCATCAAAATGCTGGGTTCAAACACCAGTTTGACATGTTTTAACTATCCAAAAACAAGATTTGAACCACATAAAATATGGAGACAAACCACAATAGTTACAGTGTTGGTTTGCGACAAGCTTCCAACATGCTTGGTGGTTTCCAAATCATGTCGGACTTTCGTTGTTTCTGGGGCCAGGGACCGGTCGCCGATCAAAAGGTGGATGGGTTTGGGTTCACAAAACATGACCAGCCGCCATTGAACCAGTCATACCCACATCTTCACACATAAATATGGGTCGCTTGCTGTATCCACCCAAATTTTGTTTCTTAAATCTTCATTGGCTGCTTGCTACATATTCATTTTAGTGGCAGTTTTATTCCTCTTCAAATCAAGAAACTTGGTGTTTATACTCCCAATGAACATCAATGAACAGTAATCCATGGCTCGAGCACCACAACAACAACAACAACAACATGAGCCACGGACAAAACGTCGCTGAAGGCGCAGAGCAAGGTGGAGATGTACTCCGAAACCACGGGCTGGAAGGCTCTACCATCCCTCCTCACTGCGCGAATGCGTTCGGCTGTGGTGGCAGGCGCCGTGTGTTCACCTTTTGGACGTGGGAGGATCATGTGAAGCATCCAAGTTTGGGGTTCCCAATCTTGACCCGACGCAGTGACGCGCAGTTTATGCATGTGTTTGCGGTGATGCATGTAAGCAATGTGCTTCACAACTTAGTTACTCTTGTCAAGAAAGCAATTTAGACCTTAACATACCTAAACAAAATTGGTTCTGTATATATAATAATACTTGCAAATTGTCGTCGTGTTTAGGCCACAATATGCATGAAATAGCCTTGTTTTCGTCACTGCTCAGAGCAATCATGCGGTCCTGATGGGAAGGCCACATTTGATGCGCAGCAAGCTATGGACTGAGAACGACAGCTGATGTCTCCTTTGCAGGAAGCTCGACCGTCCATATAGCCATAAGAATAGGGAGTTTGTTCCTTGTTTCAAATATGTTGCTGTTCCCAGTAACTCATTGTTTTTTCAAGGTGAAACCACCACAAAAAAATGAGAAAAAGACACAACCGGCTCTTCTGGATGAAGACCCGGTGTTTATGGCTTGAGGGTCGAGGAACATTCTTGCACGCACTTGCATGTGGCGTTTCAAGCCATGAGCAAGCAGCTTGCTGCTAGGATTCGTTGTCATGTATGGTGTTTTATTCTAAATCCTACTATGCTTGTAAATGGCAAATGCTTCATGATCAGTTCATTTTTGCACCAATTCTTGCACATTTGCCATAATTCTGTGTTTGCATTTGATTGGGGGACACTGATAGCAACCCAACTTATACCAAAGACTACAGTTTTTGCCATAAACAATTGATGAAATTCCAGGATATTGCATGTTTTGCTAAAAGCCCATTGAACTGCATTGGTTGCCCATTGACCTTGGCAAGCACAGCCCAACGGGCCCATCGGGCGCAAAGTTCGCCCATCTCGACTCGCAGAATGTGAGTCGCAGAGATGCCTAGTCGGTTTGAAACTAAGACTGGTTGATGGTTCTATATTCTATGAAAGTTTTATCATATCATCATATATTTCTATGGGGATCAAGTTAAAACCACGGTACATATGATATATGTTTATATTTTATGTGCTTGATCCCCGTCAAAATTGAAATCATCACATATCACCTTTTAGGATGGTATACTGAAGTATGCTGGCGATATTTTGTACCCTTCCAAGCCAACTATGATAAGAATGATAATTTAATGTGTTTTTTTTACATATTTGGAGAACAACCAACAATCAGAATATATTCACCAGAGGCTGCCAGAGGCTTTGGAAAAAGTGTGTCAGCATGTGTCAGCATGTGTCAGCATGCGTCAGCAGGCAGGGACTTTGATGTGGGACAGGACCTTGTGAAAGGTCAGAGAACCTTCGGTTTTCTGTGGGTAAACATGGCTTGAAATTCTGTACATTTCACTGGCATCGGCTATGAATGAACAGCGTACGCATGGCAATAGGGCTCGATTCTTAACTCAATGCCCCAGAAATGGACTGGAACCGAAATTACTAAACAATCCCAATTTGATAATTTTCCTTGGTCATTCCATTGGTGCCCCCAAATGGGGGGCCAGGTTTTACTCACCGACTTGTCTGACTTGGCTCCGGAGCGGCCATAGGGGCTATGAAGTCCATGAATATCTGGAGGTTTTCTAACATTCACAGAATTGGATGACGGGAAAATTTACAAGAAACCCCTATATTTGATGGTAAAAACCCATGGGTTTCCTGTAGACTTCCCCCAACAAACCAATCCATTGAAACATGGGGCTACCCCGAAATCAAATTATAAATGGATTTTCCGATTTTCCACTATAAACCATAGGATTTCAATTGGGACAACCCCCAATTCATGGGAACCTCCATATAGAAATCTGGAGGCTGCCAGGTCCAAAGAACATCGAATTTGGCCAATCCGCGGAACGAGGTGATTCACCGTCCTACCGTCAGTGTTAATAGTGATGGTTAATGGTGGTTAATAGTCATGAAACATTAAAGATGGCATTAAACACTATACACCAACAAGCGTCACGCAGCAAAGATCTTCATGAAACATCGACAGTGCGGCAAAACTCAGCGTGTCCAGTGGATTCATGTCTGCCTGGGGCTCAGGATGGCTCAGGTTTTTTTCCGGTCCAGCTATGTGGTTCTTTGTCGTGCTCAAATGATTGAAGCAAAGAAATGGTTTGTCCATGTTTGTCCACAAAGTATGTTGTCATATTCTTGTCCCCAATACTTTGCCATAGTATTTTGACGTACTTTGACCATGTGTTGCTGATTTATCGCTTGTCCGAAGATGTTGGATCCACCCACCGTTGAGTCTGCGTTTGGTGTCACCCAATTCTGAGATCCTGCACGATGCGACGATGTACCCATCTCAAGATTTACTAATCTTATTTGATCTTACTGCACACGGTATACATGGGTCCCCAGAAAGATAGAATAAAATTTCCAGAATGTTGTAGATGACTAGATGATGTTTCCTCCAGAATTTTGAAGTTTTCCAAATTTTCTATCTATCCGGAGGTTGCGAAAAATACTTTGTGATTTTCGCAAACATCCACGCAAGACCAAAGAGCAATTTACCCACTGGCGCATGCACCCTGCTTCAACGCTTGTGAGTCACCACCCGAAGAGTGTTCAAAACCCCTCTTGGCTAATGATTATATTTGGTTATAATTTATAATACTATATCCAATAGATTGGGGACTAAAATCATCCTTTGTGGAAAGTCGTATTAGTCAACCAGTATCAAGGGAGCACATTTCGGGATTTGAACACTGCGCAGCGCAATTCCAAATGGTAATTTGGAGGTTTCTTCAACTGGCAGGACCCCAAGTTATCACCCCAATTTTTTCATGTTTAAAGGAGAAAACCAATGGTTCAAGTGGTCCCATTTTAAGAAATTCCACTGTACTGGAAAAATGAGTTCCGGTGTTGGCTTCAGTGGTTGCCCGTAGGCCGGTGGGCGAAACAAGACGGAAGACCTCCTGGTGTTTTGGTCGCAGCGGCTGGTACTCTGAGTGACCACCAATTCATGAAAAAGTGGTAAAAGTTTGAAGAACTTGGGCTAAGATTCGCATCGTTTGTGGTGTTATACAATTTTTAAATTCCTGGAATTAAAGTCATTCTTGTTAGATCGAAAAAAAGAACTTGAGAGGATCCACAAAGCGATGCACCAGCTGCTAAAGTCAGGCCCACTCTTCTGGCGCGGGCTACACATTAATTGAGGCAGACAGGTGGTGACTTCTTTGACCCAGGTCAGATCTTTTTTTTGTTTCTTGGGAGGGGCTGGGCACCACCCAAGGGCCCCAAGGGTTTTGGATGGTCTTGGGGTCCCCGAAATTGGGAAACACCCATGCCAAAGTCAAAGCCTCCTTGTGATGACGCTGGCTCAGCAGGTTCAAAGAGTTGATGCCCTGCTAAGGGAGAGATGAACATAAGTTGATTTGTTCGGGCTGATACCGCTTATGATGGCCACGTGAATCCCAGGAAATGGACATGAACCCCAATCCACTAGGCAGTATAGTAGGCTGTAGAGGTACGATTGTCAGCGGCTCAGATAGCCCGGATCACTTTCCAGATGGTGGCGAATTTGCAGCCCGGCGCCACATTGGAAGACGCCCAAAAGTATCTTGAGAAGTATGAAAAGGCGGTGGGTCGAGAAGGACGCAAACATGGAGGTTGGTTCAGTCGAATCAGGGGTCCCACCTACTCTCTTCATGAGAGTGCCCTGACTCAAGCAACCATCGTGAAGGAGCCTCTGGCCAGGGCAGAGCTCGTTGCGGGAGTCATTGATTCTGGGCGATTATAGCCATACGCTTATTAGTAGTTCTCAATGCTTTTTTATGTGAGACTTATACATGACATATATTCTGTCTTATATATTCTTATATTACTATTTACATATATTTACCACGTAAGCGTAATAACTCAAGTCACATTTATGAAGGTTTTTTACGCTTTACGCCTAGCTTCCCAGGCTTTCCCGGTTTGTGCTTCCCCAGCTCCGAGGATTGTATTTGTGATGGCGGGATCATGGCTGCTCCTGGATTTGACTGGAAGAGTCTCTACGCCGAGCTGAAAAGGGCCTTTCTGGATCTTGCAGCAGAGGTCCAGCAAGGGCTGAGAGACAAGACCGAGACGCAGGAGCTGGGGGACCTGGGAAGATGTCGCTTGGTTTGTTGAAGGTTTCAGACGCTTTAAGAATCTGTTGAATATGTATATTATATAGAGATGAATGTTTTTTTTGTATTTTTTTGTTCTATTCCCGTCTTGAATTTGAAATGGAATCGTGAAATGTTCTAAGCAAATTGCAATCATAATTGAATCATATTTGATAATTAAAGTATCATGTCCCATATGCTTTCCGTTTCATCCATCCATGTCTTTACAACTTGCTGCCCCCCAGTTAGAAGTTGGTTAATAACCCTCATTTCTACTAACTATAAACCCAAGTGAAATTGGAGTTATCAACGCAACTGGGCGAAGGTTTCCACCTGTGGCATCAGCTTGTAGGACTTCATTGAGTCCTTCCTGCAGCTGATTGAGAACAATAGCTGGAGCTACGTCACTGGTCCTCCGGAGCACAACTTCGCTGCAGAGGTCCTGGGCGATTGGGCTGCGCTGTGCCAGGAGACCCGGAAGGAGCTGAACAGGGAGCTGACGAAGGAAGAAAGGAAGGCGCTGGAGCGGCAGAAAGTGCAGAAGGACCGGGATTTCATGGGGATTTACCCTCTGGTAAATAAACATAGACCCTGAAAGTCATCAATTGTTAATGGAAACTAGTCTTCCAATCCCTATTTGCCAGGGTCTATGTTAATTTACCAGAGGGTAATAGGGGTTCTATGGGAATTTTATGTGGATTTACCGGAATCAATGGGATAGGTATTGCCAATATGGGACTGGTGGTGAGTAATCGCCTGAATTTTGGTTATGCTTCAAAAGAAATCAACATAGCGTATCATAGCTTTGTTTGAATATAGGGTACTGTCGAAGAATCATTCTCCCTGTTTGAATGACTACTACTAGTATAATATGTATATATATACCTATATTATATGATATATATATATATACATACATACATATATATATATGTACATTGTAACCTCAAAAAAAGAGAGATACGTTATTTACCGCTATGTTATTTGTCAAAGTAGTATTTAAGTTTCTGCTCTAGTCCTTGGGGCACCCATAGCTGAAGCCGCAGGAAGTGGATGCAGCTGAAGCTCAGCTGGTGGAGAGGAAGAAAGAGGTGGAAACTGCCAAGCAGAAGCTTAAGGAGTGCGAAGCTTCGGAGAAGACCGCGTTGGACCTTGTGAAGAAGGCAGGGCCCATTTTTGGGCATTCTGGCACATCTGTTGTTGAATAGTAAGTAAATCTAGTAGTTCCACTGAAAATAGATAAGAAAAGAAGAATACTACGAAACATACTGTTAAATGCATGTTCTATA